GATGAAACAGATATGGTCCCCTGCCACCAATGTACTCAGAGTACATATGGGGTGACAGACCTGAAGGCAGACAGCGAACAGAGTTATAGTCGAGCTGTGGCCTCTGCTACAGAAGACGGGAAGGGGACACCTAATCCAGCAGGGGCATCAGGGAAGCTTCACTGACAGGTCACATGGGCCTTGAAAGATGAGAGGGAAGAGGGGACTCCAGGAAGAGGGAATACAAGCAAAGGAACATGCAGGGAGGGTGTGAGCAGCAAAAAGTAGTTTGTTTTGACGGGGTCACAGGGTGCAAGACAAGGAAAAACAGAAGAGAAGTTTTGGAACAGATTACGAAGGAACTTGTGTATGAGGCTGAGGAGTCCAAACTCTATACCAGCGGTTCTCAACCTGTGGGTCGTGACCCCTTTGGCGGTCGAACGACCCTTTCACAGGGGTCGCCTAAGACCATCCTGCATATCAGATATTTACATTACGATTTATAACAGTAGCAACATTACAGTTATGAAGTAGCAACGAAAATAATTTTATGGTTGGGTCACAACATGAGGAACTGTATTTAAAGGGCCAGAAGGTTGAGAACCACTGTTCTATACAGTAGGCAACGAAGCCCACCAAGATTTCTGAGCAGAGATAAAAAATGATGAGAACAGTTCGCAGGAAGATCATGCGGGCACCCATAATGAGGATGCAAAAGGAATCAAGTTAGGAGACTACGATGAGACCACGTAACAGGAGACCACGTAGCAGGAGACCACACTGCAGAAGCAGGTGCAGGAACCCAACCGCTCCCGTTCACAGAGCTTGCTTCTCTCTGCCACGGTCCAGCTTCATGCAGTCCGACCTCGGGAGGTGCTCACTTGCCAGGCCCTCTGGCCCTCACAGTCTTCTAGGGAACTAGAGTAACAGGCCTGCCAATCAAAGTCAAGAACCCAACCATCCTTCTGGGTCACAGGAAGGGAAGAGCTGACGTGGGATAAGTTGGCCCCAATCTTCAGCTGGCCCTGCTCCATAGAAAAACCCAACCGCCGCTCTCCCCTTGACATCACTTCCAGCCTAGCTCTCCTGGGGAGGGGCTGAAGCTAAGGGCAGTGGGGCCGAAAGCACCTGGCCAAGGGCTAAGGAGCCAGTGAGACAACTGCCCAGCAAGGCACTTGGCACAAGGGCAATGGCTAGCAAGCATTCGCTCCTTTCCCATCCTACAAGGTCAGAGCCCAGCGCCACCTATAAACTCCACTGAGGCGTCAGGACCTAGGTCACCTCAACTCTCCCCCAGGGCCTCTCTAAAGTACCCCAGTCCAAAACGACCGAGCTCATAAATCACACCCATTTCATGACAGGTGCCATGCTAGGTAACACGCGGAATTCTATTCACCTTTCCCAATGACCCTACTTCGCCCTTTTTATACAGGAGACAGTAAGGTGCTGCAAGGGGAGATGACTTGCCCGAGGACACACAGATAGAAGTGCAGAGCCGAGATCTGAACCCAGGACCGCCCGACCCAGCGCCACGCACTTCCAATGCTGCCCCCGTTCTGCTCCTGGCCACCTGACAGACAGGTAGCCTGGAAAGTCCCTCCCTCAAGAGAGATGGCACTGGCACTGTGCTCTCTCCTCCAGGCACAGCGACCGCGCATGTCAGGGGCTTTTCAATGAAAACGGTTAATTTTTAAATATATAGGACCAAGATATTAGAAATTCCTCACACGAAAAATGACTCATGATGTGGGACCGCCTGAGCCTCGAACCCAGCCATATAGCTAGCAGGACCCCGTCTCCAATTGGCCCAGACTGAGCTCCGACCTCGGACACCTGCCACACCCCGGCCGCGACCCGAGGCACAGGCCAAGCCCGACCGGGACCCACGCCGCACCCCGAGCTCTTCACGGACGGAGCCCTGAGAGGACCCTAGAAAAGCGTCCCCTGGGCTGACACCCGCAGCACAATCGGGTCGTGACCTCGGACAGTTCCGAAGGCCCTGATTTCTCCGTCCCAGGGCATGAACTCACACACAGACACGCCCTCCCCAAACCTCATTTCACTCGCAGGGATACCTCGCTGTCTTGTCTTCCCCTCAGCGGACTCGCCACGGAACCGGTCGCGCTCCCCCTTCAAGCAGATCGCTCTGCTGAGGACGCGGAAGAGGCGGTGCTAGACCCGAGGGGGCGGGCCCGACCGCAGAGGAGCGCGGGGGGGCGGATCTGCGCCTGCGCCCTGACGGCTACGCCCAGGGAGAGGGTGGGGCGAGCTTAGTAAACTGCGCAGGCGCGATTGAGAGGGGCGGGGAGGTTGCGGGGAAGTGGGTGGGGCTTAGCTCCTTTGATGCTCAAACTTTTCGCGTGAACTTTGAGAAGCCTGGGAAGCGCCAGGAGGGAGGAAGCCAGGAAGCATCAGGTGTCATTGACGTTTACCAGAGCTTCTGCATGCCAAAAAGGAATTTTAAAAATGTCTTTTACGTATGCGGATAGGCTGCCTGTCTTTTCTAAAATGAGAGCTAATTCTGTAAAATTTCTTAAAAGGTTTGGGTGCCTATACTTTCACGATGAGAGTTTCTCCTTTAGTAAAGCATTCCCCCAGTAGTTCAAAATAAAAAGACTTAAAAGCTCATTTCTTGGAAAAAACTAACTGCAAATATATTGATATTTCAGCCAACCCCAGGTCCTCTCCCAAGATACAGGTGCGATGAGATAATGAGAATGCTGACTTGGGTTTGATTCAGGTCCTGACTCTGTGTTTCCTCTGTTGTGAAATGGAAGTAAATATCCCGTCTCTTCCTGACTCAGGATTGTTATGAGCCTCTTGGACTTCCTTCCCATCATCCATCTGAAAAACATGAATTCCCTTTCCCCTTCTCAGCCCAGTCTTCTCATCTGTATGATGGAAGGAGGTCTGGGACATTAGAGAACATTCAGGGCTTTGCTAGATTTCCCCGTGTAGGTGAAGGCTGGAGAGGAGTTCTTCTCCCACGCATCTGTATTCAGTCACTTCCAGAATCTCTCAGTCCAACCTGGAGGCCCCTGTGGATCCTGATCTCTCCCATCATCACCTTCTGGGCCCATCAAGCTTCATGTGCTCAGAGGCCATGCTGGCCTGTTCCCCTCTGTTCCTTGAATGTCTCAATAACCAGCTGCCCCTGAGCCACTCAGGCCTATGTTCCAATCCAAGTGCTCAGACCTGCTATTCCTCCATATGGCAACCAAGTTCATTAACACAGAGAGGAGGGCTCTGGGAAACTCACAAGAGGAAGGGCTCCCCCAAATCAGGTGGAGCTCCAGCCATGCTTGTGGCTCCCTTTACTACACTACATACAGCTCCCGGGGGGAAGTGGCAGCAAGAAACCTCAAAGAAAAGGCTGCAGTATTCATGAGGGCCAGGGTGGTGGGGCAGCCTTTACTCAATAGGTGGATGCTCTGCTCCAAGGTGTGGAGAATGGCTCACTTTTTTATTCCCTTCTCCAAATGGCTTTATGGACCCAGGAAAATAAAGGCTTCAACAGCCCGGCTGCCCAAACTGTCCCTCTGCCCCTAATACATTGCCTCTCCCAGCACTCTCTCATGCAAACTTTTGCCCTATGGATTGGGAGAGGGAGCCTTTCTCTCTTCTGTCTCCTCCTTCCTCTCGATCTCTGTCTAGTCTTCCCTAAGCATCCCTCTCTGAGTTTCTCAAAGCAGTTTTGTGATGGCTTGTAAGGAGCAGGCCTTGATCACACGGTTCTGAGATTAATTTATCCTCATGGCCATGGTGTATTTCAAAACAACTATAATCTCAGAACCTGAACTTCCTAGGAGTCCGAGCTCTCCAGCAATTGAGGAGGTAGTGAGTGACCTGTCACAGGTGGTGTGCAAGCCGAGCCACCTTTTAGAATGCTGGACTTGGGCTTCCTCTGGTGAGCCAGAAGAAGGGGCAGCAGAGTGGAGGGCCTTACAGATCCTAGAGCAGTGAAAGGGGGAATACTGGGCACCAAGAAGGAAGCTAGGCAGCTACCCAAAGACAAACTGGATTCAACAAGCTATTGTATATCAAGCATTTAGAACTGTACCTGACACATAATATTAGCTATTATTGTTATCATTATGAATGATTCATAGACTGTGAATAATGAAGGAGCTTAGAATCAATAATTTCTTTGTATCCACTCCTGGTCATGAAATACTAGTACATGGGGGAAATAGAGGTCTGGAGGGGCCTGCCATAGTCAGGGGCTGGGCTGGGACTAGAAGCCAGACCTCTGCCTCCCAGGGGAGCTGCTGCACAGAGCCAGGCTCCTCCTTAGACAGAGGGAGAGCTCTAGGCGGGCCTTTGCCCCACGGCCAGCTGCCCCAACAGCATTTTCTTGAGAAGGGCTTCCTCTGCTGTGATTAGGGTTAGCATTGTTTCTGCCCCGTTCCTTATCCCATTCGCTCCAATAAACCACCACATTAAGGGGGTGAGAACAGCCAGTGCCAGGTGACCTAAGCTGAAACAAGTAAAGAATCTCTAAGAAGAGACTGAGCTCCCCAAAGGCAAGGGCCAGTCCTCCCCACTCCCAGGACCCTAGCCTTGCCCAGGAATTCTAGGTTCAGCATTCTCAGAGCCCTGGGAAAACCTTGGTGTCTCCACCCTGGAAAGCTGGGCCAGACATGACCATACCAGCCAGCACTCCTTATGTCCAGGGACAAAAATCCCTCCCTCCCCACTCTGGCCAAGTTCCTTCCGCAGTCTGCCCAAGAGCCATGTGGCACTCAGACCACAGCTTCCCACCAGCGCTGCTTTAGTTTGCCTTCTTTATTTTACCAAAAATAACAACAATAAAGTCTTCCCTCTGT